GCTCTGATGTGGACAACCTGTAGCGAGTGTATTGGCTCTCAACCAGGAGATCTTGATAATGTAAAACTCATTAGTGAGGTGAAAACCTACAGAAAACAAGCTGCATTAGTGTGTAGTATGCCAACTTTGTTAATTGTCTAAACGAAATGGGCTATGGCAGGTTGCATCTATGGGAATTGTACTTCTGTGTGCAGGGATTTAAAAGGCAAGGATTTGAGTGCTTTGACAATCTATTTAGAAAGAAAACACAGTGGTTTCAAAGATGATATGAAAGGAGACTGATAATACAGGTTGTTCCTTATGGAACCTTGAAATGTACTTAACGGGGGAGGCATTGCCTCTCATAAGTCAAAGTTAATGATCCTTTCAAAACTTCGCTGTAATTACTCTCCTGAATGTTCTGGATAATAGTAAAAAGATCTATTTTTGCCTGGTGTTGGCAATGAGAAAGCTGCATCAGTCTGAACTGTAGATCACTGCCTGCCAGAGACTAGGTGAGGGGAGGAGTCTGATATATTGGAATTCACAGATGCTCTTGTGCTTGTTTTAAATGTAAATGAAGAAAGCTGAGTGTGTCTGTTTTGTTCTCTTGCAGATGGCACTTTAACAAGTATATTTTTGGTAAGATTAGGAGGAGAGTCATCTTTTCCTCAGCCCTTTTATGGTAGGCATTTATCTGTGTTTTGTATAAAATGTTAAATACAACAGTCACTGAAATCCTCAACTGGCTGTGGTTGTCAGTATCTAGTGGGCCCTCGTCTGTTTCTACTGAGCCAAAAATGTGAGCCCTTGACAATACTGTTAATGTTAAACTGAAGCTTTGTGTTCTGAGACTGACACAGTCTTGCAAGGCCAACCTGAGTAATGTAGGGCCGCTTGTCACCCAGAATGTCCCTCTCGCTTAAGGAACTTGATGGTGTTTGGGAATCCTCTTTCCTACCGTGTGAACGTGCTGGCAGTAGTGGCAGGTTGGCTGCGTGGAGATGTAGCTGGATTCTTTGGATGACTTGTGATAGAAAAAAATGCAGCTGCTGTCTGTAAATTCACACGACCTAAGTTCTTGAACTTGTCAGTTCCTTACGTTAGCGGTGTTGTAACCCTTTCAGGGCCTGCTGAAAAGGATGAGCGGCAGCAAGGGTAAGCTCTTGCCTCAAGAGATTGCACAGTTCCATACCGAAGGGTTTAGTCTGCCCACTGCTGGTTAGCAAAATGGTCCTACCACCTCAAATACACACTGTTACCCTGTCAGCTAACACAGGTTCTCTCTGATACATGTTTCCTGCTTTCTGTTGCCAGACCAATATTCCAGAGCGGGCCTGTATTTGTTGTACAGTGGGTATTAAAAGGAATGGGCAAGGTACTGTCAACTGTGTCCCCGTTTCTCTTGATCTTTGCAGAGAACACAGGGAATTAATTGTACGTGGCACTTAAAGAGCACTTTCTCATGCTTACTTAGAGATGCAGCTGTATTTCCCCCTTCTTACCCGAGAAGAGTCAGAAATGTCTCCTTCTCAAGGATGTTGAGAGGAGTTTAGCATGCCCCTGAGTCATTTTTTTAGGAAGAGATCTTCAGAACTTCCGATCAGCACCTTTCACCAGCACTAAAAACCAGTAATTAAAAATGCGACTAAATGCCAGTCAACTGAATGCTCATCTAGTGATTCATGGCAGACTCCAGAGGCAAAGGCACTTGTGAGACTTGCTTGCTGCTGGGTGATTTCAGATGACAACTCTGTCTGCCAAGTGTCTCAGTGGCCTTTGTGCCGCCTCTGATATTCAGAATCAAGCTAGAATTTCCATAGTTCTAAAAGAAAATAATTATCTGTCTGGCTTCCATCAGGTTTATTTCTTTTCAGAAAACCTAACAAAAAGGAAGAAACAGGTTATTTCCTGAAAAAATACTGTGGCTGTGAGTAGCTGTAAGCCTGTGTTCCAGCTCTTATCCTTTGGAGTTTGCTTTCCTGTTTGCAAGACATGCGACTCTCAAGCCCCCTCTGTTAGAGGTGAGGATCGGTCTGTCGAATCCGAACAAAGGCAGAAATGCAAGAACCAAGGAATGAAAGAGTCCTAGTACAGCTGAGAAGCAATGTGTTGCTTTTTTTAACAACCTGGTAAATATGAATTATGAAATCTACTATTTAAAAGGAACCTTCTTTTTTTCAACCTTGGGTTGCTAGCAGTGTAAAATGTAATTTAAATCTGCGCCGAAGCATTTTTGTTACCAATAGGCAAGTAGATGTTTACTTTTATGTGTGTTTTCCCTTCTGCTCTTCCCATTCACAGTCCCGTTGTGGTAATTTCCTGAAGGTGTAATCTTTGTAGCATGATTGTACAAACATCCATATGAGATTCCTGACTTCTTGTTCTCACTAAAATATGTGAAAGCAATAGTAGTTTTACTTCTGTCCTTCTTTTCTCCACCTTCTGTATTGAGATTTGCAACTTCGCTACTATACTGTCCTAGAGGAATCCTAGTATCCTGCTATTCAACAGACATATGTTGTTGACATGAATAACTGCAGTGTCCCTATATTCCTTTATTTTTATGGAGAAAATACAAAAGGTTTTGTTACAATGGATTTTAACACCTGAGTCATGGAACCATATTGTTGAAACTCTGTAAATTTTAAGGCAATTTTCTGAAATCGCTTGAAAGTGGAATGTTGCATCCTTTTATGCTATTTCCTGCTTCCTATGTAGTTTTATTCAGATTTTTTAACCTTCTTTCTAAGTTTCAGCCTCCTGTGTATTAGGTACAGTATTTTCTGCCTTTCATACTTTGTAATAAAAATGGAACATTTGTA